CCTGTCACCCAGACTGGAGTACGGTGGTATGATCTAGGCTCACTACAACTTCCACCTCCCCCATTCAAGCGATTCTCCTGCCTCAGCCTCCCAAGTAGCTGGGACTACAGGCACACACCACCACACCCAGCTAATTTTTGTATTTTTAGTAGAGACGGGGTTTCATCATGTTGGCCAGGCTGGTCTCGAACTCCTGAACTCAGGCGATCCACCAGCATTGGCCTCCCAAAGTGCTGGGATTATAGGCATGAGCCACTGCACCCGGCCATTTTTCTTAGTGATTTCTAAAATGTTCTCTGCTTGTCCGTAGATGACTTCATCTTCTCTTAAACAGCCATATGTGATACCTACTTAGAGCCACTTTCTAATTTTTCTGATATGTAACAATTTTAGAAAAATATCATTTATTGATTTTTAATTATAAAAGCTATAATAGAAGTATATAAGTTAAAAATGGAACTCTCTCACCCAACCTCATTCTCCAGAGGTAGTTACTGTTAATAGCTTGGTGTATAGTGTCTTATTTTGTATACCTTATTGACTTTTTTTATACAGATGATATCACATTAGGCATACTCTTCTGCAATTTGCGTTTCTTCATGTAACAATGTATCTTAGGGCTGTTTACATATCGACTGGCCTTGTTCTTTGTCATGGTGGAATATAATTCCATTGTTTTTAAAGCATAGTGATGTATTTTTTTGGTTCTTTACTGATAATTACTTAAGATGCTTTTTGTAGTCCCAGCTACTCGGGAGGCTAAGGTAGGAGAATTGCTTGAACCTGGGAGGTGGAGGTTGCAGTGAGCTGAGATTGCGCCACTGCACTCTAGCCTGGCGCCTGGTGACGAAGTGAGACTCTGTCTCCAAAAAAATAAATAAATAAAATAAAAATTAAAAAATTTAAAGAAAAGATGCTTTTTATTTGGGGAGGAGAAGGACTTTAAGACATCTTCAAGGATGTCATTTAAGAAAATTCCTTATCTATGTTTTTCATGACAATGACAAATGTTTTCAAAGTATTACTCATATATAACTTCACCCTCCTAACAACCCTGTAATGAAGTTACCATTATCTATAAATAACAGGGAAACAGATGAGGCCATGGAGCCCCAAGGCAGGGATCACATGCGCCTTTGCTGTTATAATGATAGCTGGGCACCCCTTTCCCCCTTCCACATGATGTAGGAAAACATATCCTTTTTGTCCTTGGTGACAAAAGGTCACCAAGAGTTAGTTACAACTACCTGATGGAGACTTCATTTCTTTCATCTCTTGTGGTTGTTCCAAATAGTTTATTGGCCCGCAATAGATATCGACTTCCTTACTCTAGAGCAATGCTATATTTTTATCTCCAATAAATTTTTTGTAGGTCATCTTGTTCTGCCACCATTTTTGAACTTATAAATTCATGAGAAAAAAGGTGCCTAAGGGCAAAAGAGGATTTATTTAATAGCAATCTCTGACCCAGCAACAATCAGTACACATCCCGCTGATTTGTGCAGCATTGAAATAGTATGTCTTTTACTGCCTCCAAGAACATGTTTTTGATTGTTGATATTTTAAAATAAATACGATATCAGATTCAGTCCATCAATATATATTGAGGTTTTATTGTATACGAAGCTCTTTAAATATATTATTTATGACCCTTGAAGATATACAGATGAGAAAACTGAGTCTCTGAGAGTTTAAGTGCCCAAGACTGAGTGAGAGGGTGAGCAAAAATTCTCACCCACATCAGACACTCTTCAGTACACAACTTGGCTATGCAGGCAAGTTACCAATGTATCAAACCAACTTGTGAGTTATTGACATACTCATTCATTGCTGAAGTCCTTTCTAGTTCTAAAACTGTGCAAATATTGAGGAGGAATTTTGTTGGTTTAGACATGATAGCTTCTCATTTTGCCCCAAATTCAGATTTTGGTTTCATGACATCTCATAGAACTGGGAACCATTTTGCACACAAAAAGAGATCAGTCTTTTTTCCTCCGGCTTTTCTTCAAACTAAACTAGCTAACAGAAGCAAGATGAGTCTTTAGTTTTGATTTGCAAAGAAAAAGATAACAACTCTTTGATAATGCCCAATACCACAACCTTCAAAAATAGGGGAGGAGAGTGGGGTAGAGGCGAGGTAGAGAAAAGAATAAAAGAAGTGGAATCCACTCATGTTAAGTCAGTACATCTCACATTACTTCCTAAAGAAGAACTAGAGAAAGTGTTAGTGTATAAACAGAAATATAGCATAATGATCCAGCAATCCCACTACACTTCGGGTGTATATCCAAAGGAAGTGAAATCAGTATTTTGAAGAGACATCTGCAATTTCGTGTTTATTATAACATTATTCACAATAGCCGAGACATAGAATCAACCTATATTGGATGAATGGATGAAGAAAATGCAGTATATATGCACAATGGAATACCATTCAGCTATAAAAAGGATGAAATCCTATTCTATGTGACAGTATAGGTGAACCTGGAGGACATTATGTTAACTAGAATAAGCCAGGCACAGAAAGACAAATACTAGATGACCTCACTCATATGTGAGAGCTAAAATAATTGAGATCATGGAAGCTGAGCATAGAATAATGGTTACCAGAGACAGGGAAAACAGAAGGAAGAAAGAGATGGGGAAGGTTGGTTAACAGGTATGATGTTACAGCTAGGGAGAAGGAATAAGTTCTGGCACCCTGTTGGATAGTATGTGACTATAGTTAACAATGATGTATTGTATATTTCAAATAGCTAGAAGAGAAGATTCTGAATGTCCTCATAACAAAGAAATGATAAATGTTTAAGGTGATGGATATGCCAGTTACCATACTTTGATCACACAGTGTATACATGTATCAGAATATCATGTTGTATCCCATAAATATGCACAATTATTATGTGCCAGTAAAAAATAAGTAAGGCATAAAGTTTCTTCAATTAATATTGATGGAATCCCGACTCTATGTCAGGCACTGTGCTAAATCCTGGGGATGAAATGCTGAATTTGCTTACAGTCTTTCTTTGAAGGAACTTACAGCCTAATAGTAGACAGACACAAGACTGAAGAGTGTGATATGGTATTGCAGTGATGGAAATGTGAATAGGATGCTCAGGAGCTCAGAGGAGGGGCATGTCAAACTGGCTTCTTTAAGGAATGTGATGCTTAAAGTGAGCCTGAGGGAATGAATAAAGTTGGTCAGCTTAAGAGAAGTGCGACAGGAAGAACATTCCAGGTAAGAGCAAAAACACAGAGGTCATGGTAGTTAAAGTACAGAATTTGAAGAAAGGAGGGAAGAAAGACGAGGCCTTTGGGGAAGATGTTTTTGTTTTTGTTTTTGAGGCAGAGTCTCGCTCTGTTGCCCAGGCTGGAGAGCAATGGTTTGACATCTTAGCTCACTGCAACCTCTGCCTCCCAGGTTCCAGCCATTCTCCTGCCTCAGCCTCCCAAGTAGTTGCATTACTAGTGTGCGCCACCACACCCAGCTAATTTTTTTGTATTTTTAGTAGAGATGAGGTTTTACCTTGTTGGCCAGGCTGGTCTCAAACTCCTAACCTCGAGTAATCAGCCCACCCTGGCCTCCCAAAGTGCTGAAATTACAGACATCAGCCATTGCACCAGACCTGAAAGATGGGTTCTGTTTGGAGTCTGAGACACCCCAATGAAAGTTTTTGGCAAGGAAGCTGAGTATGTGGGGCTGAAGTTTCGAGATCATCTGGGATGGAGATAGAGATCTGAGAGGTAGGAAGTGAGAGCTGAAAATGTGAGAGTTAATTAAAGCATCCAGGGAGCATATACCAAGTGAGATCAACAGGTATTTGAGAAGAGAATGCAAATAAAAACCAACATTTAAGGACAGACAGCTCAAGAAGCAGAGAGAATAAGTCAGAAAGATGGGAGCAAACACAAGAGTTTGGCATCACAGAAGGTCAAGGTGTAGAATTAAAACAAAGGTGAGGCCTATAGAGACAGATGGCCTTGCTGTTCTGGCAAGGTAAGGACTGAAAAGATGAAGGCATTAGAGACACCAGGAAAGGCTTTGATCAATAGTGAGGATGAAAAAGGTAATTTTGGCCGGGCGCGGTGGCTCACGCCTGTAATCCCAGCACTTTGGGAGGCCGAGGCGGGTGGATCATGAGATCAAGAGATCAAGACCATCCTGGTCAACATGGTGAAACCCCGTCTCTACTAAAAATACAAAAAATTAGCTGGGCATGGTGGCGCGTGCCTGTAGTCCCAGCTACTCAGGAGGCTGAGGCAGGAGAATTGCCTGAACCCAGGAGGCGGAGGTTGCGGTGAGCCGAGATCGCGCCATTGCACTCCAGCCTGGGTAACAAGAGCGAAACTCCGTCCCCACAAAAAAAAAAAAAAAAGGTAATTTTGAGAGGAAGTAAAGAGAAAATCTGTAGTCTACTCTTGAGATAAATCTGGATGAGAAGAGAGGTTGGGTGACAGCTAGAGAAATATAGAAGGTCAAAGGAGGAGGAGGTGGCAGATGAACTGCTTTGAGAGTGCAAGATAAGAGATTTCAGTATGTTTTTAGGCTGAAAGGAAATGCCAGTGGAAAGGTTGGAAACAGGAGACATAGGGAATGACAAATGGAGGGAATTCCCAGGGGAGGAACATCTTGTGCACTGAGACTGGAGAGGTGGGGAGGATGCTCTCACATGATTCATAGACAATTTGGCCCACCTGATTTAATACTCTGCCTGCATCTCCTAGTACAGATTCTCTCTTCCTTCTGTCAGCAAACAGCTCACTGTGCCTTGGA